CTCTGACCCTCGGGAACCCCCGAACCCCTCGGCTAAACCCTCCCGAGCCCTCCAGCCTTTCCACCCACAGCCGCGCTCCCCGCAGCCCCCGAGGGGATCCCCAGACCCCGCTCTCCCGCACCCCCCGCCAGCTCACACAGACAAAGGCCCCGCCGCCATCACCGATTCCCGCTCTGCGCGCGCACCGCATTCAGAGAACACCGCCGCAGCCAATCAGCGCGCGGCCACGCCTCCGTACACCCGCCGCTGCGCCTGCGCGGGGCGCCGGGCACCACGGGAGTTGTAGTCCTTGGCTGATCACAGCGGCCCTTTGCGCGTGAGCGGTGTGGAGATAATAATTTTTTGGTTTTATTGTTTTTCTGTCTTTTTTCCTCTCTTTTCTCTTTCTTTTTTTCCTTTCCTTTTTTCTTTCTGCTTCCTTTTTTTCCCTTTTTTCTTTCTCTTTTTCTTTTTTCTCTTTTTTCTTTTATTTTTATTATTTGTCTAATTTTTTCCTATTTTTTCTTTCTTTTTTTCTCTTTTTTCTCCTTTTTCTTATTTCGTATTGCCTTTTTCTCTTTTTTTTTCTTTTTCCGTTCTTTTTACATTGTTTTCTATCAGTTGTATTTTCAAGGAAGATTTAAACACAGATCAAAACAATCTCCAGGTACATATCTCACAACAGCAGATAATCTGGCATTGTTTCAGGTCCGAGAGGATTCCCAAGATCACAAACACTGAGATGTGAAGGGTGCCCACACAAAAAACAGCTTTCCCTGCTTTTTTCCACAGGTGAAGCAAGTGTGGAAGGGGCACTTGGCCCCAGGCAAGATGCTTTTACAGCCACTTTAAGCAGCCCAGAGTGGATCTGGCTGGCAAATGGGATTATGCCCATGCTTTCAAGGAGGATTTGCAGAGTACATTGAGGGGAAACAGGGCCATTTCTTCATCTCCTGAAGGGATGAGAAGAGGGGGGAGCAGGTGCTGTGGCCCCAGAGCTTCTCTCTGCTCTGGGGACACTTCTGTGTTTTCCTCTGTCCATTGAATTCCCAACAAAGAAGGAAAAAGCTACAGGAACTCCAGTCTGGAGTGGCCAGGACATGTGGAAGCAGGGGAAGTTTTCTTCCCAGCTGGGACTGAGAGTGCAATTTCACACTCCTTTGGAGAGCATTGACTAAGACAGCCCATTTCTGCCCAGGGATCTTCCAGGGGGAACTCAATCTGGTCTCTGGGCAGGTCCCTGCAGGGGCAGCAGCTTCCTTTGCATATTTGAGGGGATAAAGCTGCTCTAACCCTGTGCTCCAGCTACTCCACAGCAATTTAGGACCTCTGAGGACAGTTCCCCACTGTTTCCACCCCAGCAGAGACCTGAACACATCCCGTGGGCACTGTGTGACCACCCCTGGCATTAACACCCTGCAGGAATGAAGACACTGACTGTAAAGACACTTGTCTACCTGTAAACCTCCACTTTGTTTGCTACTATACAGCAATAATATTTTCTATTCATATTGCAGCTACAGACTTAACAAAGAGAATTGCATATATTGTGCTTTAGACATTAAAATGCATTCCAAAGTCAGGCAATGCTAAACAATGAAAGTCTTGAACCCTCCCCCCCAAACCAGCCCCACTTCTGGTTTCAGAACCAGCCCACTTCCTCACTCTCTTCACAAAGGGAGAAACTCTCTCTTTCCACCTCTGAAATAAAAATTCCCTCCCCAAAAGTGACCAAAAAGAGTCTACTTGGGCACTACTGCAAATGGAAGTTGTCTAATAACCATTCCTTCTAACTCAGGAAGGGGAGGAGGTGAAGAAAGTCACAACAAATGTTTGGATTCCTTCCTCTTTGACGTCTTCTCTTCCCTATCTGACGCTCTGGGACGTGTGCAGGGGGGTCAGCATCTCTTCAAAGATGGATCCTTTCACATCAGAGCCCCTCAAATTGGCTTCCTGGAGGTCACAACCTGATAGGTCACAATTCTGAAGGGGAAAAGAAAAAGAAGTGTCAATGGAATGCCCCCAGAACTCTGTTCAAAGCTTTACTTGAAGTCCATTTACCTGAACTCCATTGTACTCTGAAGCTGGAGAGCTCAGCCAAAAGCCAGCAATTCCCCAAATTACCAGCTGACTATAGGAGAGAAAGGAATAGGATGGAAAATGAATCCCAACTCACTTCCAAATCAGTTCCTGCCAACGTTGCTCCCCTGAGGTTACAGTTCTTTAGTTTGGGGTTTCTCAGTGTTGCACCTCAGAGGTTAATTCCTATCATCTGACTGCCCTCCATGGCCACTCCTTTCAGGCTGGCACCTGGAACACACACAGAAAGGAGTTCTGTGAGGAAAACCAGTCAGAAACACAGCAGCTCCACACTGGTGCTGCCTCAGAGCTGTGTGAATTGGAGGAGGACAAGGGGATTTGGGGCTGAGATGGTCACAGACTCAGTGCAGCCCTTGTGGGCCCTTCTCAGGGTTGGACAAACCACAGCTGGACCTTTTCTGGGCCATGGAAATGGACAAACACAGGCTTCAGTTGGCACAGATTCACAAGGCAAAAGCTTCTCACCTTCCAGATTAGCTTTAGGGCCTGATGGGTCCTCAGAGTTGCAGCCTTTCAGGGACGCTCCCTCTGCGTTGGAGTGCAGCATCTTCACCCCTGGCAGGTTGGCACACTGGCACAGACAGGAGTCACTGAGGGCCGGAAGAACAACACCAAAGACAATCGAGAAGACACTTTTAATTTCTGCTTTGGGAGTGAATCCCATTAAATCCTTACTGGGAGGAGGTGTAAAAGCTTTGGGAACCAGAACAACTCCAGAATATATTTAAGAACTCGATGTTTTACACCGCTCTGTTTGTTCCAGCTCCTCTCTGTTAACACAAGCCCAGCCCTCCCAAGCTGCAGCAGCTCTTCCATCCAGCACAGAGCCTGACAGGTCAGCCCTCTCCAGGCTGGCACAGCACAGGTTGGCACGGGCCAGGTTGCAGCGGCTCAGATTGGCCACCTTGAAGTTGATGCAGCAAAGATCCAGGTGGGAAAGATCTGCTCCACTGAAAGTGAGACCCTGGAAATCCCAAGGAATAAACCCCCCAAAAAGGTTACAGAATGGAAGGGGTAGGTCTGGACACAAAGTTAACATCATTGTGTAGATAGGTGTGCATTAATATTTACAGTGTGTAAATATCTATATCTAAATATATGGATAGAAATGTATTAAAATATATCCTGTCTATAAATATACACAGATACAAGATAGATACAGACACACACAGGTCCTGGGAGGAGCTGAAGACACCCCACCAGGGAAGGGGGCTTATAAAAAGGAGGGAGAGGGACTTTTGATATGGGCCTGGAGGGACAGGACAAAGGGCAATGGTTTTTCAACTGAAAGAGGGCAGGGTTAGATGGGAGACTGGGAAGAAATCCTTCCCTGGGAGGGTGGGGACGGGCAGGGATGGAATTCCCAAAGAAGCTGTGGCTGCCCCTGGATCCCTGCAAGTGTCCAAGAACAGGCTGGATCAACCTGCTCTAGTGGAAGGTGTCCCTGCCCATGGCAGGGGGTGGAATGAGAAGACCTTTAAGGTCCCTTCCAACCCAAACCAGTCCATGATTCTATACAGACAAATACACACAAGACCATTTATTTTACTACTTCAGACTAATGAAATCTAAATGCAAAGCTCTTAAAAATTGTCCTTGGTTCATTTTATATTTAAACAAATGTAAGGGGGGTACTTTTGAATTAGATTATCAAGGGAGCATAGAGGCGTGAGAAAGGAATCATATTAGGATGTGAAACCAGCCAGAGTATGGTACAATGTAACTTCATGGCACAGGTTAATTGTAAGGTCCATTGTGCTTTTTAGCAAGTCAGCTTGATATCCCCTATTATCAGAGCTGAGTTCTTCCTTGGTTTTGCTACATAATGCAAGATAGATACATCTACCCTTGAAACACAGTGGTAGAGGTCATACATAGGGGTAAGAAAGATGATGATGGGAGGAAGATTCTGTGGGCAGGGGTCACTCGCCCCTTGCCCTACAGCAGGGCATGCACAGACTGTTGCTCTCAGGTGATGAACAGGCGGGGTTTGGCTGCCACTCAGGCATCACCTTATACTGGGTACTGGCCCTACGTGGTGCAATGTAGAGCTGATAAAATGGGGTGTCAGGACTGCTGGGGTGAGCGATCCTCATCCTGCCATGGAGACTGTGTTGCTCCGCGGGGACGCCCGCTAAGCACGGGCACCGACCAGCTGCTGCAGATCCTGGCAGCCCTGGCCTCTCTGTGTGGGTAAGCACAGGTTATTGACAGGAAGCAATTGAGAGAACAAACCTTTTAATATCCTTTTAGTGTTCCTTAAATTCCCCTTTTATGCTTATCCTATTTTTCCTTTAGTTTCCCTTTTTACTAACCAATATCGTGTTATCCATAATATTGTGTTAAGATCCTTTCTTGGTATCCCTTTTCACTAGTTAATACTGTATTAAATGCTGTTTGTAGTATTTGTTTTAATGCCACCCGATAAGGTAGTTATTTTGTATCCTTTTTAGTTTTTAATTCCTCTTGCTAAGTTTATTACTATTATTATTATTCTCACTGTAATAAAAGATATTTTGTGCGTTTGAATATTTCTGGCAGTTGTCTTTATTCTGGACATGTATCCAAACGAACGGTTACACACACACAGCTTCTACTGAGAAGCTTCTGTCCTGTCAGGGCAGTCAAACTGAACAAACGTGTTTTCTTGCTGCTGAACTTTACAAATGAAAAAAACCAAGTTACTGTTCTATGCCCAAGGTTCTGGATCCTGCCCCATGTCTAACTTTAGCAGCTCTCCAGATGGAAGGGGATACCACAGCATTGGTGTTACTGGGAGTGACTTTGTGCATCCCCAGACATGGAGCTGTAGCTCACTAGACAGTGAGCAGCTTACCTGTTTTTCCCCATGCCCAGTTTCCTAAAACTGAGGAAAGAAAAGCAAGTATTTGTTTAGACAGCACCACAAACCAGAGGCTGGATGGATAAAAAAGTAATTTAATAAGCCTCGCTCTCAGGAGATGCTTAATAGACAGAAACACTCCTTCAGAGGAGCAGCTAATTCACAGAAGCATCAAAGAACTTCAGTCAGACATTCACTCCACAGGGACAAGGCAAGGTTTTCCTTCTCTTCATCTGAGGTGAGGTTAAGCTCTTTAACATGAACAGTGCTGCTACTCCAAATCTGCTTCAGTGCTTCCAAGTATGACAAAGGAAAGCGCAGCCTGTGAGTCTGCTGGGGAAGAAGAAACAGAAAAAAACTCCTTCAGCTGAGAGCAGTGTCCTTATTGCACAGCAGTGTGTGAGGCTGTGGGTAGGGAGCAGCAGGAATGTGCTCCCTTCCCACATGGCACTGGTGTCACTGAGAGCATTCTCCAGAAGACTCGGTTTTATCCAGGCCTGTTTTATCTTCGTAGGGAAAATGCTGAACTCTATTCCGTGCTCTAGCACGCTTTTTGAGGTGGGGATGTTTACAGCATGTGGCTTTCTCCTGTGGTTTACACATGGAAGAGTTAAATAGCCTTAAACTTACACTCTTGCCTAGCCCTACCCATTATTTCTGGAAGCTCACAGAAGTTTATTTCTAGCTGCCACACGCAGTCTTTGGATATAGTTTGACACAACCACAGAGGAGCTCCATTCCCAGGCCTGGAGTCTTCAAGGGCAAGAAGGAATATTCTGGGATCTGCACATGTTGTTCAGGTGCCAGTGTACAACCTCAGCTCTGGAGGACCAGTGAGATTCACTTCCAAAGAAAAATAAGTGCCAGGCAAAAAGCCTTGCTGTAATTACCGAGACAAGGACAGACTGTGCCCTGTTTTGCCATTCGAGTGTTTCGGATCACAGAGCTCAGACACAGCATCTCACTGCCAAAAAAGCAGAAATAAAGGTTCCAAAGCTCAAAGCCATGCTTAGGAAGGATTTATGACCCAGCAAAAGCACACTGTACCTGCGAGCAGGAACAGAGACGACCTGAAAAGTGCATTTCAGAACAAGGTAGGTCTTTACTCACAGTGCTGACCCACCCTACCCTAAAATGAACACCCCTGCAGTGTGTTCCATTGGATACAGAATCTAACATGGGTTTAGCATGGCAGTGATCCCTAGGGAATATCTGCTGGCCTATCCAGTAGAGGATGTGCTAAGGACACACCAGTGAGAGCTGGTTTTAGTTGCTCCAGTAGCTTTGCTCCCTGGGCCATAAGGTATGCACCAGAAATCCTGTTAACATCTCGAGTGTCTAATTAAGCATGAGATCACATTGCTCAGTTCTACTGTTAAACTGCCTCTGTGGTGCAGCCTCAGCTCATCTGGGCACTGCAGGGCTGGGCAGAAAGGCTCTGGGTGCTGAGGATCACGGCAGAACCCAGGCCCTGCTGCCATTTGGGGCAAGCTCATCTCATGCAGCAAAACCCACCATGGAAAGATAATTTTTGGTGTGTCTGCAGGAACAAACCTGGGCCGTGCCATCCTCACTGGCAGTGTCATCTGTCCCCACCGTGGGAGTGTCTCTCCTGTTCCTTAAGGAATGATACACATAAACCATCTCCCTGCGAATTTCATCCTAAAAGACAGCAGGGAGGAAACAGTTACCTGTGATCCACAGCCTCAGACTCATCTCACTGCACTTGCCAACGCTCCTTAAGTCTGGAGTCACTCTTACAACAAAGCATGCCAGTCACCCTCCCAAATGAATTTTCCAACAGCCACCTCCCACAGCAATAAGGGACTCTCCAAAACACCTCTGAAAATTTATTTACAATCATCTTCTGCCTTAAAACTGCCCCTGCTAGAGTCCCAGGAGTGATGCTGTACAGAAAACAGGCCATTTCAGGGAAAGTATTAATGAACAGGTGTGCCTCAACACATTTCCAGTCTGATACTGATCTGCTTCTTAAAAATCACATGCCCATCATCAGTCCTTGGTCAGAGCTGTGCAAAGCAATTCAGAGCTCTCGGGGCAGGTTGCACATGGAATTTGTGGACACAAGTCTTCCATGTGTCCTGTCATCCTGGGTTGATCTGTGTGACATCAGAAGGCAAGGTGGCCCAAAAATTGGGGGGAAAAAGTCTCCAAAACCTACACAGTCTCAATATGGACACAAGCAAGATGGAGGAAAAAATCAGAAAGTTATGGTGTGTTTTTCTTGGGAAACATTCAATTCATCCAAACAAACCCCAAACTGTACAAGATAATCTTTGCTGTGTGTCCCGCCCCCCTTTTTTTTTACTAAAAAACCTTCATGGATAAGAAGCAGTATAAACACAGCATAATGCAAGATGCATGTACCAATGTTGTGGAACAACTTAGTAGTGCCCCTGGCACCTGCTTGGATACAGAGATAACCCAGAAGTGAAGACTAAATGCAGCCACAGCAGCAGCAGCTGCAACCAGCACAACTCCCTCTCTTGAGAAGACCTATTTTTATAAATTATTCCTGTTCTTAAATACAAAGAATAGAAAAAAAACCTATTATCAAGACCTGTAGAGGCCATTTAGCTGCTGTAATGATCTACCCCATCAAACCTGAGACAAAAGCCATGTACCTCCCATACAGAATCATAGGCTGAATTTAGTTTTGAAGCCCCCCCTCCAGAAGTTTGGAATGTGCCATATCACTCAACAAACAACCCCACAGTATCCTAACAAACCCTAATGGGATGCAGGATCCAGCTCAGTGTAACTGCATGACCCTTACAGGCCTTTTGCACAGGAGAGCAACAACTCACGTGCCTCACATGCACTCCCCAGCCCACCCCAAATGTACAGAGGTGGCTTCACTGTACCCACAGCATTCTCTTGATCTGGTTCCACGGAGATCAGAGTGTGATCTCTGAACTGCAGTCTGATTTTGCTGTCTATTTTTGGCAATTTCCCACCTAAGAAAAATAAATCCTCCTTAGAAAGGCAGAAAACCAGACAAACGGTTAAACTGAGCCCCCCTGTGCTCTCCCCACTCTCTCAAGGCTGGACTGTTTGTTAAGCTATGTTTCAACACCCACATGTCCTCAAACTGGTTGTGGAGGGGGCAAGGAGAAAGAGATTTTTTAATTCTCTCACCTTTCCTGTCTGCAAATACCTATAATAAACAGCAAGCTAGAGCCCAGGGAAAACTGCTACCAGTTAAATGCTCTCGGGATACAGTTGATCACAGCTGCCAGTTCCAGTCTAGGATAATCTTTATTCCACTTTATTGCACTGAGCCTTCAGAGCAGATCAAGTGCTGAAGTTCCACCAGGGTGCCCCGTTATTCCCTCAGTCCCACCTACCCACCATCAGCAGTTGCCTCGGGATGCTCGTCCGCAGCGCCACGTCATCTTTTGCTGTGTCAAACACCAGGCCAGGAACTGCATCCAGTAAGAAATCTCCCCAAGAGCTGATGGACAGGAAGAAACAAACAAAAAAAAGTTCCTGAAATAGCTGCACTGAAATAAAACAGACATCACAACTGGTGTCATGGGCTGGAAACCCCGAGAATTCCAGATCTGCTCAGTGCCTTTGGCCCTTCCGTTACTGCTCTGTAGCCTCAGGCAAAGGCTTGTGCACATGTGTGTCCTCACCACCCTCAGGCCAGTGGCACTTCTACAGAGGGAAGGAACTGGCTTGAGAAGGGTCCAGTGTCTTCTGCTTCCAGGTGCTTGCCATTTATCAGTGACTGCAGCTCAAGTGGTTGATGAATTCCTCCTGGGGTCTTTATCATCCAGCCACGGGCACATACAGCCCCACTGCACACAGTGAAGTGTGTGGGGTTGGTTTTGTCACTTCATGTGCTTTTGAGACATTTCTATTGAAGGAGGAAACGTACCCAGGGTTATCAAATCCAACAGGGCATCAGTTTTCAGCTTGACTAGAAACTTAATTACGACCCCAAAACCAAGATGCCTGCAGGGATTTTAATGACACCTGACAGGCAGTTTGTAGGTGTCTTGTTTGCATTAAATCCCCATTCTTAGCCTACATACTTAACCAAAAACACTGGCTTTGATCCCTGTGCTTCTGTTCCCCACTTGTACCAATAAACCAGAGGAGGAGAGGGAGGATCCTACTCCTGCCTGCACCTTCTGTGCCCAGCTTGAGTCGACCTGGGCAGGAAGAGGCTCACGCCAAAGTGCTGCCCTGTCCATGGGTGACCTTCTTCCCTCCCACATCCTGAGGCTGATTTAATGGACAAACATCCAGGGCTGCCAGCAGAACTCCCACCCACCCAGGGCAGGCAGCAGGGCAGGGCCTGTCCTCCAACAGACACTTCACCCTCTGCTCTTGTTCTCCCTCAGCACTCCTGGCTGTCAGCTCTGATCTCTAGACACTACTTTAGTTTAGGAAAAAGAAAAAGTGCCACTTTTTGCAGTCTCAATATTTTTTTATCATCTCCACTCAAGTGTTCCACTGTCTGCTACACAGTGGGAGGGAAGAACTCTGGCCAGTGAAAGGAATTAGACATCTACTCCTCACTACTTCCCTTCTTTTGCCCCCAGAGTCTCCATCTGCCAGCAACTGTCTTCAGCTACTCACTGCTTTTCCAAACTGCCCTGCTTATCCCACATGTGCACACTTCTCTCCTGCTGGGATCTGGCCCAGACAAACCTGAAAATACCTGGAAGTGCCACCTCCACCAGCACTTCCTCCACAGTGGAAATCCTCCACAAGGATTTCTCTTCAATTTGCCAGGGAAATGTTTCCAGATCATACTTCCATCTACAAGTCAGAACACCAGCCTGCACCAGGACTCCTGCTTGTTTTCCCTGCCCTTGCTGACAGGAGGTGCAGAGGCAGGATGTCAGCACTTCATCACCAACAGCCTTAACGGGGGATGACTCCACTTTTTAACCTTGGAAGAAGAGCAGCTTTTCCTTTTCCTCTCCTGTTTTTTGGGGTTAGTTTTTTTTTACCTTCTGAATAAAAGAACACGTGTGTAAATTGAAATCATCTGAACCCAACTTTTCAGAAGACTGACACCTTTGAGCAGCTTCCTCTTAACCCTCTCTCCATGTTGGAGGAGTGGCCAGATGAAGAGTTACCAGCCCATCCTGGCTTCCAGAATGGCACAGCTGGTGGTTAGAGATTCATCTCACAGTTATCTAGAATATGCCCAAACTTGTTCTGCCCTTCCTAATTCCTAACTCAGACCAATGGCTCCAAACCCAGCATCTGGGAGGCTGATTAGGTTGGCAAGAACATTTCCCTGTGTGATAACAGTGTGGGCACAAGGACTGGGAGTGTGTCATAAGAAATCTGACTTGCATACATGGGGTAGGAGATAAAAAAAAAACACAGATAAGCAGAAAATGTTTGCAAGGAAGAATTGGCAGCAAATCTGTCAGAAGATTAGTGCAGGTGACTATCAAATACAGGAGAAAACATGATGAAAGGAGTAACTCATGACTCTTTATCTGAGCTATGAAATGAACAGTAACTTCAGCCACTGATGAGAGATTTTTTTAAATACAGAAGTGAGTTTGCAGTTGTAGCATTTTCCACATTAAAGCCTACAGCTGGTAAATAATAAAATAAGCAATTAAAAAGCAATCAAGCTTGCTGCTTCAAACAACAACAGTCTTCTTGCTCCCCTCCTTCCCCCAAGCCCCAAAACTTCACCACATCTCAGGTCTGTACTGCTCACACACATCACTTGGCAGAGGAAAGCCACACAAAACAAAAGATAAAGAATAATTACTTGTTTTGGTAGGTACTGATGGTCACGTGTGTGGAATGGGAGGTCCCAAGAGGAGTGTCAGCTTGGTGGATGGTCCCTCTTGGGAAGTACAGTAAGTCACCTGGCTGCAAGAAAATTGATATATTTAGGGCACCAGGTCAAACCTTATTGCAGTCAGAGAAAATACTCCCTGAGCAGACAGTCTGACAATATATATCCTTTAGAATCACAAAATGGAGCAGTCCTGCAATGTACACTTTAATAACATAAAGAACACCAAGCCAGAAGTTCAGAACCTTAAACTTTCCAACCTGCTGTCAATATTTGCTGAAAAGGTGAAACAAGCTTTTTAACATCACAGAACACACAGACTCCCACTGAGCTGCAGGAAGAGGACAAAGAAGCAGCTGAGATGGACCTGCTGGCAACACAGTGGGCTGGCAGAGGAGCAGTGAAATGGGGATTTGGTCAGATCACATCAAAAGAAAAGGCTAGTGTTCCACGAGAAAAGCCAAATAGTCTATAAAAATGGTAATCTGTTACAATAGTGTTGTCTGAGATTTTCAGTTAAAGCACTTAAAAAACAGGTACGACCTTCCTCCTCCTCCTCCCTATCTTTCTTCTCACCTATGTAAATTAAAACTCCACACTGGAAAAAAAACTAGATAAGGAAAGTCAAGGCAAGAAAGGTGTAAAGCACATAAAATTGCCTCCAAGAAGGAAATAAAAGTTTACTTATGGCTTGTCCTGTAAACACCTACAGAGTTGGACAGCACAGTCAAAGAAAACTGCCTTCCTTACCAGAGTGGGGACTACACCAACCAAGAGTATTCTGAATTCTCTTCACTTGAAAGATGGAGAAAGGAAATGTTCTAGAAAGATGTTTAGGGAGGAAATAGAGTCAAACAACAGCATCCCTCTCAGAGGCAGCCACAAAGAGACAACCAAACTTTGACAGCAGCCACCCAGAAGAAATGGGTCACAGGAAGTGAACAACAGCAAACAGAAGAAAAATAAATTAAAAACTTGGATAACTTTTAAGCCCATCATTATTCCATAAAAATGAAAGGCACTGAAGTCTGGTCCAAAATATTCCAGGAATGAAAAAGGGAACTGTAGTTTACCAGACTTTGCATCACCCAGTACACGATGACGATTGAATATTCCCCTCTGTCAAACAACACAGCTCATGATGTCAGCATCCCATCCAATGGGTCACACTGTTACACCATCCAACACACCTACACCATCCAACATGTCACACCATATTCACACTCCAAACACCTACACCATCCAACATGTCACACTATTCCTCAAACACCGACACCCAAATGCAGCTCTGGACACTGAGAAGAGCAGAGAGAGGCTCCATAACAGGCCAAAAGGCAGAGAAACTCCTGAGGATTCCAGCATGGAGCAGCACCACCAGCTGGACAAGTAACACTTCAAAAGCAGGTCAAACAGAACAGGACAAGCACCAGATTCCCTGCTGACACTCAGTAATCTTCATGAAATGTTCCTTTCATTCCAAAAATCAACCACCAACCAAACACTTGAATTTCAGGTTTGGAAAAAGGAAGAGCAATTAATACAGCAAGTTCATATGGGGTTTGGGTCATGCTTTTCTTTATCAGCCAAGGATAAATATTTAAATCTCATTCACCAGAACAGTGACAATGTTCAGTGCAGCAGTAAGTCTCAGTGCACAGGAGGATTAGCCTGAGGGATTACAGGCAGCATGTAAAAGCATAAAAATGTTTTAGAACCATACACAAACCCAGTGTTTTTTCTGCACACAACTCCACAAACATGACCTAGGAGTCAGGGTGCCCAACCTGGAGAGTACTAGTCAATTTACAGAAATAACTGGGGTTTTTGGCCCATTATTTAAATACTAGAAGCAAAGGATACCTTTAAAAAAGGATACAGACAACTCTCACCCAAATTTCTCGTGCTCGCAGTGTGCAAACCCTCCCCTCATTAATTTTTAGATGGCTACAATTCAGAGAAATTTAAATTTGAACTCATTTTTTTTGGTCTCTATTTAGAGACAACAGACAGAGGAGTTGTGAAGTGGGATCTGTTTTATCCTAAGGCAGGCATTTGGAAATCCCTGTTTCTCTCCAGTCACTTCAGTAAGTGCTAGAGAACTAACCCAAAAGGAACATCTGCCACACAAATAGCCAAAATTTCAGGTGAAAGAGGCTTATCCCCAACAGAGCATCAGAAACCTCTATAGGGTGCCCAGTGGGGGTAGATGGCATGAGTTAGAAATGCTGGATGTGAGGCTGCTGAATAACAAGCATAAGGAAAATGAAACCCCAGGTGTATTGAATGGAAATGAAAATATTAAAAAGCAAAATAGACATATAAGGATTGGATTTTTTGATTTGGTTTAAGTGGGATAGTCCAATTTTTTCTTTATAACGCAGTGTATATTCGTATGTTTCTTTTAGAAGCTGATTTAAAATGCATTTGGACCACAGGAATTCATCATATCAGTAACTTCTTAAAGACAGCAGGACCAACAAGCACAACCAGTCTGCTGTTACAGTCCAGCTGAAGAAAGAGCAAGTACTTAGTAAAGGAAAAAGGACTTGTAAATTCTTGGGGCCTGAATGAAGTGAAAATGAAAAAACAGGTGCTAGAAAGCTTCTGCAGCTGTGAAAACAAACTTCTCTTTTTATCTAAGGGAAATACCAGGTCTGGAAAACCCAGTTTACATGCTATTATGATTAGATATTACTATTAGTAAATTTTCAGCAAAAATACGCAAGAAAAACGACTACAAGGAAACACAAATAAAAAAAACCACATTTTCCTGTAATGTTTAGTGGGGGGGAGGGTTAGAAGCACACACACAACAGCAAACACTGCCATCAGCAAAAGCCCATGCACAATTTCCCAGGCAAGGTTGTGCTGTCCTACCTCAACATCATCATAGTGAGGAGGAAGGCCCTGGGATCCCTGGGCAGTGATGGAAACATTGGACCCCACCAGAGACCCAAAGCAGCACTCCAGCTTCTCCTGAAAATCTTCCACAGCTCCTCCTGTAAAAAAAAAAAGATGCTGTTACTTGCTGAAGAGCTCAGCCAAGCCCAGCCCACATCCTCCCCATGGCTTGGGAAGAATGATCACATCAGGGACACAGAGGCTGGGAAGGAAGGTGCTCTGTACCAGTGTTTCTCCTGAAGGAGAGCACTGGAGATGCAAAGGGGATCTGCCAGGAGAGTCACTGCTAAGCCAAAAAGTCTGGTGCCCCAACCTGGGTTTGTTCTCTTCCCTGTGCCATCTTTAGGCTGCACAACCAGACAGACAAGGCTGAACAGAGGAAAATAATCCCACAAACAGCAGAACACCATAAGACAAGAAGCACATGCAGGACCTGCATTCTCTCACCAGAGAGAACACACAGAGGTTAGAGACCTTTCACCAGTTACTCCAATCATTTGGGAATATTCAAAACCAAACTTGACTCATCCACACCCCACATGTGACAGACAAGGCACCGAAGGGAAACAGCAGAACGTGCCAAGTACCAGATCCACACAAGTGCAGCTTGGCCATTAAAGCTGACAGCAGCCAGGAACACTATACCTGGGACTCAGCTTGTATTTGGGATCTCATTTGGGTCCACCTCACAATTAAATTGTGCTGACACCTTCAAGGCTACCTGAATCAAAGCACCTCCAAGAATCCAAGTCCTTTACACAACTGTGCAGCACCACTGTCTCCTTCTCAAACTCAAGGACTGAGAACACTCAGCTAAAATGGGCTGGTACCTTTCCATGGTGCAATTCACTGGCAAGAACACTGGAAATATTTCACATGGTTTCACACCTTACCCTCCATTAAAGGGAAGTGGCTCAAAAGCCACAAAGTTTGCACAAGGAAACAGTGGGGCAGAAGGGATAATTTAAGCACAGATGCCTAATCATCAATTTTGTGCATTTGTTTTTGTTTCCAAACTTTTATGTGACAGAGCAAAATTTTAAAAAGAATATATTATTATACATATTATAGCATGAATCAGATTTTGTTCTTACTGCAGAGCAGTGAAACATGATGGACAGTGCAAAAGTATAAACTGTGTTTTAATACAGCTCATGTAAAGATTTCAGCAGGTCATCAATGTCAACCACTTGCCCTGGGGACAGAGATGAAGCCATGTCTAGTGCAACTCAAACACACCACATTATTAAGCCAGCATCAATTATATCCAGGGAAACAATCCCACCTTAAATCTCTGAGGCTGATGAAACTGTATTGTTGCCTTTTTCTGGTCAAAATCCTTCTTCAGCTGCATGTAATTCACTTTGCCTTCTTTATTTATTATTATCTTTCTTGGGCATGGTTCCTGTTCAAGAGGAGAGAGGACCAAAACAATCAACCAGCAACACAACCTCAAGAGCTCACGGGCCCAGAGCAACAACTCTTCCCCTACCCAGTGGGATATCAGAGTATCCCGGGAACAGCTCTGGTTTCAGAGCCTCACTATTTGCTCCAAAGCATTAACAGTTTACAGAAGACAGGGAACATTGTTAGGCCTTCCTGTTGATGCTCTGTAATTACTACATTTACAAGTTTAAAACTTGTCAAATTTACCAGTTTAAGAACTAAAAGGCCAAGATTCTGCTCTCAGTCCTGTCGAGCTGTCAAACTTTGTTTATGTAGAACAAAAAGAATTCTTTCACACAAGCACAGACATTTCATTTTAAAGCTGGAAGTCATTTACTTTGTTTTTCCCAGGCAGATAGTATGATTGTGTACCATTATGCAAAAATAAAGAAGTTGATCTACAAATGGTTTGGCTGCCAAATTCTCAGGAAAGTTAAGGGGAAAATCAAGTAACGGTAGGTAACTGTGCAAGTCTGGAAAGCCAACACCTGAGAAGTTTGAACGTGCTGATGCCATAATTTCTAAGTAAAAATGACAGCTCTACTCCCTACACCCATTTGATAGGAAATGCTATCAATTTGTTGAGATACTTTTATTTACACAGATCCCGTACTTTGAAACTTAAACTCCAGTTCTGGTATTTACATGCAGCACTAAGTTCTTCTGTGCAGCAGGACACCCTTGCTGGCCCACTAACTCCTGGGCAGTGTTTCATCAGCAGCTCCTGCACAGCCTGTCCCTCAACAGTAACCAAGGGTCACCTCAGCCCTGCAGGAGGGAATTCACATCACCTCCTTCCTGAGAGAATGAACATTCCCAACTGCAGCACGAGGCAAGGGAATGCGTACAAAATTAAAGACTGAAAATCAGTCCCTGACTGACAGCAAGATCTGAAGATGCTGCTGAAGGCACCAAGATCTAAAGCTGACATCCCCAAATGACAGCAACACAAATGCAACCAAGCCTGGATTAATAGTTTTGAATTCCAGACCTAAATCCATTGTACCAACCTCTCAGCTCATTCACACTGATTTAAAGAAGTTACATTCAGATATTTACTATTCATAGAGCGCAGCTTCATTTACAACACGGGCTGTTCTGTAGCCTTCTGCTGGTTATTACAGCTGTTCCAAGCCCCCTGCCATGGGCAGGGATACCTTCCACAAGATCTAGTTGCTCAAACCCCCATCCAACAGGATCCAACCAGGCCTTGAGCACTGCCAGGGATGGGGCATCCACAGCTTCTCGGGGCAACCTGAGCCAATGCCTCACCACCCTCCAGCAGAAAAAAATTCTCCCTTACATTTAGTCTAAACCTAAACCGTTCAGCTTAAACCCATTGCCCCTTGTCCTGCAGCTACAGGCCCTCATAAAAAGTCCCTCTCCATCTTTCTTGCACCACTTAAGTCCTGACAGGCTGCAAGGAGGTCTCCACAGAGACTTCTCCAGATTGAGCCATCCCAACTCTCCCAGCCTGTCTCCGCAGCTGCTCCATCCCTCTCATCATCTTCCTGGCCTTCCCTGGACTTGATCCAAGAGGTCTGTGCCCTTCTCACGCTGGGAGCTCCAGAGCTGGATGCAGCGCTCCAGGTGGAGAATCACCAGAGCGCGGCAGAGGGGCAGAACCCCCTCCCTCACCCACGGCCCGCTGAATGGGATGCAGGATACGCCCGGATTTCTGGGCTGGGAGCTCAGCGCCAGCTCAGCCCCAACTTTCCATCCACCAGCACCCCCAATTCCTTCCGTGCCGGGCTGGAGGACAAAGCCCAGCGCAGAACCCCACACGGGAGCAGCTGCTCCCCGCCAGGGCTGTTCCCTCCCACACCACGGCAGCTCCCTGGGAAGCGGCGGGAATACCGCCGGGCACAGCGGGAATACGCCGGGCACAGCGGGAATAGCGCCGGGCACAGCGGGAATAGCGCCGGGCACAGCGGGAATACCGCCGGCACAGCGGGAATACCGCCGGGCATAGCGGGAATAGCGCCGGGCACGGGAATAGCGCCGGGCACAGCGGGAATACCGCCGGGCACAGCGGGAATACAGCAGGAAATCCGGCGGCATTCCAGTGTCATTCCAGTGTGTATTCCAGTGGGAACGCAGCAGCACTAAGGTTAATCAATCTGCTTCATACAACGGTGCCTGGGCTTCGGCTGCGTTATTTATTTTTTTTTTTCCTGGACCAAAAATCTTCTTCTGGAGTCTCCCTGAGTCTCCCTCAAAGAAAACTTTGGAATCCTCACCGAGCACGTGAAAACTTCCAGAAATATTTTTGGATGCCTGTTAATGGTTTGGTTTACGTTGGCTAATGATGTCAGAAACAAAAGAAAATGTTAGGTAGGCTTTGCTGAAGCTTTGTTCTTGTGTACTGGCTTGAAGGATACGAAGCAGAACTAGCAGAAATAAAAAAGGTGGATTTTGGAAACCTCAGCAGCCTTACAGTGCACGGCTGATGTTGGTACAAAGTGACACTGCCATAAGTGTAACTAGAAGGACCTTTCAATGACAGGTAAGAGAGGGGACTGTGTCCTGTCAACAACTTAAGGAGGGAGAATAACAGAGCCTTGCACATCTCCAACACCAGTTCAAATCCTTCCCTTTACGGAAAGTGGTTTTCAGTCTTGTTCCTCCTCACAGTGTGGTTGTTACACAGTCAGAACTTCTGCTTCCCTGGCACCAGCTGGATCATTTGGAACAAATGTCCTGATTCCAGTGGGTTCTGCATTCATGGATGCATCCAGCAAATTCCTGTGTGCTGAGCAGAGGAAGTGGCAAAGTATAATATATAGAAAAGGGGGATGGAGGAGAGAAAAAGGCAAATGCTGCTCATACTGTTCAGTCCTTGTTCCTTTACCACCTGGACCGCTCTGTCGCCAGCTGACCAAAATATCATGGTCACTTGAACATGAAATAAGGAGTAATCAGCATGTGGCTGGGTTACCAGCAGAGAGATTTTGCCAGGGGTGAACCTACAGCTGTCCTAATTGTAGAAATGTGTACAAATTAGATAAAAAAATTAAGTTTCTCTAGAAAGCTTTTTTTTCATAGTCCTGTGAGCTTCAAAGAAAAAGAAGACAATCTCCACTTTCTAATTCTGAGTTCATCACTACATCCCTCAACATCCAGGACATTTTGCAAAATTTATTAAACTTCAAATATTTTAATGTAAATGCTCACCAATAGTTGGGATATTCAAAGTGAAAAATAGGTCACTGTCATGAAATTCTCTTTATTTCTTTCATGAGAATTAGCAAGCTTTGAAGAAGGAAGTAGTTCTCCAGACTTAAAAGGTTGCATCACCTAAATTAACACTCACAGGATGGGCGTACCAGCAGATGCTAAAAATAGAGAGGCCACATCCTGCACCTCAGCCGGTCACAGACACCCTTAAAAGATGTTATTTCTGTTCCAAAAATCCACAAAGTACCTCAGCATAACTGCCTGAACACCATCAGGGTGAATACTCAAACAAATACACATTTACATAATGGCTGTGGTGTTTTTAATTTGCTGTGGGACATAAACCCCACACATCTGACCGGCTGCAAAACCAGTAGGAATGGGGAAATACTTTTGAGTACCTTTTTAAAGACTTCCGGGCTGATCTGGAGAGACAAATTGGCTAAAAGTATTTATTCCCATCCCAGTGGG